TCTCATTTTGCTTGCATGTGCCTAATTGTAACGAATTAGGCACTCTCGTGTTAATCTTCCCTAGTTGAAAAAGACTTATCCTCAAGTCCTCATTTGTTCCATCAACATGATTATGATAAGGACTTAAATCAACCACATTAAATGTTGGGGACACTCCATAATCTCCAAGTAGCTCAATCTTATAAGCATTCTTGTTAATTCTTTTAAGCACCTTTAATGGATCATCAGCCTTTGGTTTCAATTTCTCAATTTTGCTTGGTGGAAATATTTTCTTCCTTAGATGAATCCAGACCAAATCACCTACGTTAAACTCCATGTGTTTTCTGTGTTTGTTGACAGCTTACATGTACCTCTCATTTTGCTTGCATGTGCCTAATTGTAGCGAATTAAACACTCCCGTGTCAATCTTCCCTAGTTGAAAAAGATTTATCCTCAAGTCCTCATTTGTTCCATCAACATAATTATGATAAGGACTTAAATCAACCATATTGAATGTTGGGGACACTCCATAATCTTCAGGTAGTTCAATCTCATAAGCATTTTTGTCAATTCTTTTAAGCACCTTGAATAGACCATCAGTCTTTGGTTTCAATTTCTCAAATTTGCTTGGTGGAAACCTTTTCTTCCTTAGATGAATCCAGACCAAATCACTTGCGTTAAACTCCATGTGTTTTCTATGTTTGTGGGCAGCTTGCATGTACCTCTCATTTTGTTTCTCAATGGATGCTTTAACATCCTCATGCAGCTTCTTTATCTACTTAGCCCTCTCATCAACATCTCTAGTAAATTACTGGTCCAAAGGACCAGTAAGATTATCATCATAAACAACCTCAAAATGACTCTTACCAATGCTATGATGCATGAAACCATTGTAGGCAAACTCAATTTGTGAAAGAGTGAGATCTTATTGCTTAATGTTCTTGCCAACATAGTTTCTAAGCAAGTTTCCCAAGCTTTTGTTCGTTACCTCAGTTTGCCCGTCGGTTTGTGGATAATGTGAGCTATTGAAATTCAAAAAAATACCCAATTTTCTCTAAAGAGTTCTCTAAAAATGACTAAAAAATTTTGAATCTCGATCAGATACTATAGTTCTTGGAATTTCATACAATTTGAAAATATCCTTGAAATACAAATCAACAATATGAGATGCATTATTTGATTTATTGCAGGGAACAAAGTGGGACATCTTTGAAAATATGTAAATAAAAACTATGATGGAATCCTTATTCTATTGAGTTCTTGGCAGTCCCAAAACGAAATTAAGACTTACTTCCTCCCATGGAACATTAGACATTGGCAATGGAGTATACAAACTAGAATTTTGATTTTTTATTTTTGCCAAATGACACACTCAGTATTGCTTTACAAGTTTCTTCATATCTCTAAACATCTTAGGCCAATAGAAATTTGATTAAACAAGAGCTAGAGGTTTGCAATTCTACCACATTGAGCTGAAATCCATATCATTCTCATAGAGATATTTAAATGTCTCAAATCCAACCATTTTGACTTCCATTGCTGATAATAAAGAATACTCAATGCATTAGCAATTACGTTTTGAACACCATATTTGTGCTTAATTATAAAGTTATAAGATTACAAGAACACCCAAGCTACATACCTCTTGTTTAGCTTGTGTTGGTGATTAATGAACTTCAATACCTCATTATTAGAATATAGGATAAATGGATTAGCAAGAAGATACTGACTCCAATGAGATAAAGCTTGATAAATAGCATAGAACTTATTATCATAGGTAGAATATCTCCTTGTATCATTCGGCTTCTCACTAAAAAAAGACAATGGGCTTTCTGTCTTGACTCAAAACAATATTAATTTCCATATTAGAGGCATCACATTCAACCTCAAACACCTTATCAAAATTAGGTAGTACTAAGATAAGAGCTTTGATCACCTTTCCTTTTAATAGCTCAAAAGTATTATTAGCCTCATAATCCATTTGAATTTATCACTTTCTAAGCATTCGGTAATTGGAGCGACAATAAAGCTGAAATCCTTGATGAATCTTCTGTAAAAGGAAGTTAAGCCATGGAAACTCCTCACATTATATAATGAAGTAGGTGTTGGCCAATTAAGAATAGTTTCTATTTTACTTTGATCTATCATGATGTTACTTTTTGAAACAATATACCCCGAAAACAATACACTAGGAGTAAAAAAATCATACTTCTTCGTATTAGCATAAAGTTTTTACTATCTCAAAATAAAAAAGATCTCCTTAAGATGATTCATATGCTCCTCTTCACTCTTGTTGTACACCAATATGTCATCAAAGTAAACCATAATAAAAGTCCCAATGCATGGCGTAAGTATATGATTCATAAATTTCTTAAAAGTGCTAGGAGCATTAGATAGCCCAAATGGCATAACCAACCACTCATATAAGCATTCTCTAGTTTTAAATGTTGTTTTCCACTTATCTCCCAACCTTATTCTTATTTGGTGATAGTCACTACTCAAATCAATTTTAGAGAAAATAGAAACACCACACAACTAATCAAATAAATCATCTAACCTTGGAATAGAAAATTGATAGTCAATTGTGATTTTGTTGATGGCGAAGTTGTCCACACGCATTCTCCAAGAGCCATCCTTCTTAGGCACCAACAAGGCTAGAACAATGCAAGGACTCATGCTCTCCCGAATCAACCCCTTCACCAACTCATTCACTTGCCTTTGAAGTTCTTCATGCTCCTTAGGACTCATTCTATATACTGCCTTGTTAAGTAGGACAACCCCCGGAATAAGATCAATGTGATGCTGGATATCTCTCAAAGGTGAAAGACTATATGGAATCTCTTCTGGTACAACATCTTGAAACTCCTCAAAGATTGGCTTCATGATTGTTGGTGTCTTCTTATGTTGTCATTCTCCTCTACTGCTACTAGAGCCAAAACATGACCACCTATTTCTAATTTACTATAGTATTCACCATATGACATAAAAGCACTGACTTTCTTCTTTGGTGCATTGATTTTAGAATGTTGTAATGGAGCTAAAATAATTTCTTTTCATTCACCTTAAAAGAATATGTATGTTTGTAGCCATCATACAACACCCTCCTATCATAATATCAAGGTCTACCCAACAGCAAATGACAAGCATCCATATGAGCAACATCACATGGAACTAAACATATTTTAATTACTTTGATGTCATTTCCTTTTTGCAGTCAACATAATTAGTAAGGATGTAGATGAGAGATTGTGTCCAACTTTAACTTATGCACCATCTTTCAAAGATATCATATTCTCAAAGCTGCCACTATCAATGATCATCAAGCAAGCATACCTTGCTATGAGACGTGCATTTGGTGTGAAATATGTTTTTTATTATCATCATATTTTGGTTTGTCATTGGCTTCATCTTTTTCTCCATCACTATGATATTCAACCAAAGTAACAATCCTCCTATTTAGATAACCTAAAACAATAAGTCCAAAACCATGACATTTGAATCATTTTCGACCACTTGGGGTAGAAGAATTAGGTGTTTGTTTGTTACTAGTAGATCCTTCACCCTTGTCTTACTTCTTTGATATCATCTTGCTTTAGAGAGTAGGCTTGAAATTTTCTCCTTTTATATAGCCTTTTTTTGACCCGTACCAAGAACTCTTTTCAAACTTCTATTGTTTTTCAACTTTTAAATCCAACTTGCTCACATCATTTAAAGACCAATATAGTTGGAGTTGAATCACTTTAGCAATCTCATATTTCAGACCTCCTAAGTATCTTGCAATTGTTTGCTATTCTGATTCCAAAAACTCTCTTTTTAATATGAGATTATCAAACTCTACTATATACTCTTCCATACTAAGATCTTTTTTCTTGAAATCATAGATTTTGAGAAAGATCTCTTACATATAGTTGTTATGTAAGTATTTCCTCTTCAACTCCCTTTTCATTTTCTCACAATCTTACGCTTCCCCTCACATTCTCTTTGCTTTTTCATATTTTCCCACCAAAACGATGTATTCCATCTGAGTTTTGAGTGCCACAAGCTTTACCTTGTTTTGTTCTAGTGGTTCATGAAAATCGAATATTCTTTCTACTGTATTAAGCCAATCAATAAAGTCATCAATATTGATTTTACCTTCAAATACCGAAATATCCAATCTTAGGTTGTATTTGTTTCATGTATTTGTAGTAGTAGTTGCAGTCTCAAGGACTCAACATCATCTTTATGGTCGTTACCTTCACCAATTATATCTTTTTCATTTCGCCTCGCCATGATATCTAAACTTTAGCTCTAATACAAAAATGATATCGGGGTAATGTGAAATATATTTTGAAAGGAAACTGATAGTATAATTGTATTTGCTGGAATAAGTTTTTTAGATAGAAAAAAAATGAACTCATGATAATACTTTAATAAAATTTTAAAAATAGCTCGTCACTAAATTTAAAATCACAAGGGATACAGAAAATTCACTACCTCAAAGATAATAAACAAGAATACATAACTGAAAATAAAATGCTCACCACTCAAGGAAGCATTCAAGAGATACAGAGAGAGCTTCTGCCAATATCATTAGTTTCTAAAACTCTTTTCTAATCCTAAAATATCAAAATAAGTACTAGTATATGAAACAACCCTTAATGCATAGGAAATTATGAAATTAAGTGTCTTATAACTAATAACTAACCCATTTAATGTATTTCTTGGTTACGAAGAAAAATACCTTAAAATAGCTTTAACTTTGCTCGAGGAATATGAGCTATTATATTTGAGTGGATTGAGTTAAAAGGCTATGTGATAATATTGTGGGACCTAAAGAATATCAGAACACCAACAAGATCTATATTGTAAAAAATTAGGTACTCCCATGTCACTGCACAACCGTGATCTTAAAACAAGAGTATAGCTAAATAAATCCAAAGATCCATTTTTATTGTATTTGTTTGCACATTAGTGATCTGCTTTTTAATATGGTATTTCTATTTCTTGTGATTTGTGTGATATGATGCATTAATGACCTTAAAGAAGTAAAATACTCATTACCATGATTGAAGCTTTCCAAAAGGACATTTTTCCCTGACCAATCCAAATACAAATTCATTCTTTCATGCCAACTGTTATACATTTATGTATCTAACAGCCGCCGGGGCCAAACCCAATGACATGCTTTGAGACATCATAAACCACGTCCAACCCCCTCTGTTGCACATTCCCTATTATGCCCAGATCGGTGTCAGCTCTATTTGCGGCGAAGGCAAGGCAAGCTTGCGACAAGCTCGCAATGTACAGTATTCTCGTGATGTCCAAATGGATAGTAGCCCCGCCACCCAAGTGCAACGCCACCTCTGGGACCGTTACTTTGTCGAGTCCGCTGAGGTCGTAGCATGTGTCCAGAATCGACAGCGCCGGTGCCGACTTGTATGTTGTCATCTCCTGCCGGAAAGCCGACCGGAGGGCAGAGTATGCCGTGGGCGGTAGCCTTGTGATCACCGTACCGGAGTCGATGATGGTCCCGGCGACGGAGAACACGGTGGGTGGTACCAACAGTTGCTGACCGCCAACGCTTATAGCCGTTAGAGTAAGGTAGTAGAACGTCGGCGAGCTTGCGCCCGACAGCATCGGGGTGAACCGGAGATCGGAGGAGGGGTAACCACCACCGAATCTCAAGTAGCCTGTCGAGCTCGAGGTCGGTGGCAAGCAGTAGGTAAAGACTCCACCGTACCTTTGATACGTCTGAGAGACAAAGGACGGCTTGTCGCGGCCGAGACCGATCAGGCCGGCGGCCTTGCCGAAGAGGCCGTCGTTCCGCTCGCCGCACCCAAATCGGAAGTTGGGGATGACGTCGTAGGGCGTCAGCCAGAGCGTGTCTTCCGCGTAGAACCCCACCGTGTAGGAGTTATCCCCGTACTGGACCCCGTAAACGCAAGTGGACGAGCTGCAACCGGAGGCGCCGAGGTCGGTGCAGTAGGCGGAGCTGCAGGAGATGTTGAGGTACGTGGAGGAGTGGGATGGGTCGAAGATTGGGTCTTGTTGCTGGTAGCAGGTGACGACGCAGGGCTGGCACTGGATCCACGTGACGTCGCTCCCGGTGTCGAAGATGACGGTCTGGTCCCTCTTCGGGGTGCCAAAGCCGACGATGACCACGTAGTTTCCGGTGCCGAGGGAAATGCCGCTGTGGGCGGGGATGGACGACGCTGCCAGTGCATCCAGCTGTTGGTCCTGCTTGGGGGCTGTCGAGACTCGGCCGTGGAGGCTGTCGACTCGGGATTGATCGTGGTCGAGGATCTGCTTGTGAGAGAGCTGATGATGGAGGTCGAACGGTGAGCACGGGCCGTGCCGGTCGAGGACCGTCAGGCTTGTTTCGTTGTGGTTTACTCCATCTCCATCTATATGTGACGTGTATATACATTTAAGGAAGAACAAGTAGATGCAAGCTTAACAAAAAGATGATGCGGATGCTGGTTCTGAACTTGGTCAAAATTATCGTGGAAGAGTCTCGGATTTTTGTTTGCGAAACCTACGAAAGATTCGTTGTTTGTGAGTTTTGACCAGTAGGTGTTACTAGTTGTGAATCTGCCGTCCAGGGAATCCCCAGAAAGAAGAGCAGAGAAAGATAATATAATGGTAGGAAGTTTCCTCAATCATTTGAGGAAGAATCTTGGCTTTTGCTTACGTAAGCGTCGTTGTTTCTGCATGTTATGTTATGGGGGCCATCCCAAAAGGTTTATCGGTGGTGAGTTTAGCGTATGGATCCAATGCCGACTGCTTTGTTGTCTCTTTTCGTATTCGGAACTGTTTTAGTACTTTTTTTTGTTTCTTCACCGTCCTTGTTGATCTCTATCTATCTACATGCAATTGGGAATAGGGATACGGAAGAATTGACTGCATAAAGAAAGAACTCAGTTTGTTTCGAGCAAACCATCACAGCAAGGAAACCTGATCTAAGTTTTGATTTGAACGTTGCTTGCAGATTCTTTAATTACTTGACTCTGTAGAAAAAGATCGACACAGCCAGTAGGGATGCGCGGAACATGAACATGAAAGTCAGCACGCACACCTTTGTACGATGAACAAGCATCGCTCGGCAGCAAAGAACGGATTGTGACATGTTGATGGGTTATTCCTCCTCCATGAACTTGCCAGCATATACCAAGACATGCAATAAGTAAGGCGAGATAGCAAATGACACAAGGAACGGAAGCCATCAAAAAGGGAAATAGAGAGAGAGAGAGAGAGAGAGACGACGACGACGCCTCCTTGCTGCTGGATAAATAGCATCTTGTGCAAGAGTACGGCGCCTTGTCCGATGGAAAGAATTGAGGAAGCTTTGGCCAACGTAGGGACCTACAACTTGCTCCCAGTTGTGGAAGCTTTCACGCCTTGGATACATCAAACAAGCAAGCTATAGCTGGCTCGACGGTGACGGGATAACGCCCAGCCTATTGTATCGGTACTATCCTTTCCCCTACACCAAATGTTTAAGATAAGGTATGCGCGCCTTTCAGATTCTTCCTCATGCGCCAAGACGATAACAAGACCAAGAGAAGTGATATCCGCGGTCTTTCGCCTAAACCATGTTACCTGTTATTTCGCTTTAGGCCACACAGATATGATCACGTACTTGATTTCTTTCTTCCCCATAGTTTAACGTGGGAATGATTTGTTGTCATCTGACTGGATTGGACCTCATTCTACTGCAAAACAAGTTTAAGGGTAGAGAGGAAAGAAAAAGGAAATAGAAAAGAATATTGTTCTTGAGACCTGTATGATACTGATGACAGAGATATTTCCTCAACTGCATAGCATGAGATGTGCTTTCTTTTTACCTTTACAATTTCACTCTTCATTATATCACTTTATCATATATATCTCCCTTGGGAGTTTTCTGCATTTGATACCATCTCCATTATGACCAACCAACCAACCAACCAACCATATGAAACAGCTTGCTGAACCTAGCTTAGTCAAACTTAGTCTAAGTCCTCACAGCATTATGGTTCTCCTTCAATATTATATCCACTGTCGGCTAGATATTAATTGTGTTACACGCTATTGATTCTTAGTCAGGAGCTGCTGTTTACTACAGCCCAGATATGGGAAGAGAAAGAAATTGCAAGTTGTGGTCCATCTTATCATCGACTTGTTTCAGTAGCGACCACTTGTGCTTGTGATTCTAATCTCGAGGAGCGTTTGAGTGTGTGTCTGCGAGAGATGATTGAAGAGCAAGCTTTCTATAATAGATGTGCAGTTTGAGGATATCACGATGGCTAATATGAATCACCCACCAAGTTTTATATGTAAAAACAAAGACTTGCTGCATTGACTATGAAGAAACTGTGCCAAAGGAGGGATTAATTAAATACATAAAAGTCTACTACTATTGTGTATGAGATTTATCAAACATAAGAAGAATCATGCATCGAAAGCTAAAGAATTGAGGAACTTGGAATCAGAAATTGGAGGTTGAAGTCCTCAAGAAACCCACTGTAGGTTGAGAAATTAGATGAATATAATTTGGACAACAAGACGTGAAGATATTATATTTGGTTAGACATCCAGAGGTGATCCATTGCTTTGTCTGATGTGTGGAATGCACATTTCACATGGACAGGTAGATGCACCAATTTAAACAAAGAGAAGACAGAGCGGTCTATATATATATATATACACATGGTTTTGATAGTACTATTATTATTACTAGTACTTATCTTGTGTTATTATTAATAATTATTTTATTTGGGAAGGATAAGCACATTTGACATGCCATTATGGGCTGCAGGTATAGAGAGAGAAGGCCCAAGTTTTAGCTTTATGGGTTGTGGAGAGAAGAGAATCTGCTCACCATCGTAAGAATAACGATCGAGGAATTGCGCCATTTTGGTGCGAAAGTTTTTTTGTCTTTTTTTTCTCGCAAGTACTCCAAGTGTAAACCCCGACGTGGAAGTTGGTAATCTGACCGCAAGTCTTCATATCTTGTTGCGTTTTAGCACTAGGAAATAGGCCGTCAGTGGGTTCTGATCACCTCCGTCATGCTCGTGAGATATTATCGATTTCCTACTAAAACAATGTTTCTGAAAGTTCTTTCTTATCCCTCTGATGTACATACAGTATGTTTACGAGCGAGTATTCGTCTCTTCCTTTCTTGTCGTTGGAAAAAAATAACGGAATAATTCTTTTTGCTCTTGTGTATCAAATAAGTTTCTCATCAAAATATGAATTTGATATCAAAATCACATATTAACCACAACAGTATAAATAGTAGAGTAATAAATCAATCATACAGTGAGACCAAAATTTTAATATAAAAAACTAAAAAAAATCATGGGATCGTAGTCCACCTCAAATTTCTACTATCAATAGTAAAGATAACATGTTTACAATAAGCCTTCTTTAAAATAGCAAAAGGATCATAATAATATTAAGATCATATATCTTGGCCCATATCTTCATCACATAGATAGATCTCATCATAATAGAATTTTAGGTCTTACAAAGTGGGTATAGCAGGAAAGTACCTCAAAGAGGGTAAGCTACAGATCAATACTGTTAGGATTGTAGAGCTTGTTGTAAAGATTCTCTGCATAAAACTTGGATCAAAACTAACAAAGTTTAATCCCTGATTGTCAAATAGAAAACTCAAAATCCTAATTTTTCTCTCTCTTTGTTCTGTCCTCTCGTTGTGTGCCGTTGTCGTTTTCTCGTTGCACGCACAAACGCTTCCTCTCGTTCACTGCCCTTAACTACCTGTATCCCTTCTTCTTTTTTTTACTTTAAATTGCTAATTTGGGCTGGGCTATAAGCCTAAATCATTAATCAAAGCCCACATATGGGTTGGACCCAACAATTCTCCTTCCCCAACTTATATAGTGGGTTGTATCAAGCCCGTTCTTCGCTTACATGTTTTAAGCTTCTCCTTAGGTAAAGACTTTGTTAACACATCTGATCCATTCTTATTGGTATGCATATTTTCCAATTGTAATTCTTTCAACTCAAGCACATCACGAATCCAGTAATATCTCACATCAATATGCTTGGATCTAGAATGGTATGTTGAATTCTTGGAGAGGTAAATGACACTTTGACTGTCACAGTAAATAGTATATCGTTCCTGTTTCAAGCCCAATTCTTGTAGAAACGTTTTCATTCATAAAGCTTCCTTACAGACTTCAGTAATTGCTATATATTCTGCTTCTGTGGTTGATAGAGCAATACAATTATGTAACTTATATTGCCAAGAGACTACTCCCCTTGCAAATGTCATCAAGAACCCCGAAGTAGACTTCCTATAATCAGTATCACCTGCCATGTCTGCATCTGTGTACCCTTCTAACATAGGCTCATCACTACCAAAATATAAACACAATCTCGAAGTATCTCTTAGATATCTTAATATCCATTTCATTGTTGTTCAATGTTCCTTTCTAGGATTAGAAAGAAATCGGCTAACAACTCCAACTGCATAAGCTATATCTGGCTTAGTACAAACCATAGCATACATCAAACTGCCTACTGCGGATGAGTAAGGCACTCTGGATATTTCTTTTTTTTTTTTCTCACTTGTAGGATATTATTTCGAACTAAGCTTGAAATGACCTGCAAGTGGAGAATAAACTGCTTTGGCTTTACTAATGTTGAATCTTTCAAGAACATTTTCAATGTAGGTCTCCAGAGATAGTTAAATCTTCCTTTTCTTCCTATCATGAAAAATCTTTATGCCAAGTATTTATTTCACCGATCCCAAGTCTTTCATGGCAAAAGACTTACTTAGCTCTCTTTTAAACTTTTCAATTTTACTAGCATCATGACCAACAATCAGCATATCATCAACATATAATAGGAGAATAATAAAATCATCATATGAAAATTTCTTCATAAACACATAATGATCATATGTAACTCTATTATACCTTTGGCTCATCATAAAGAAATCAAACTTCTTATATCACTATCTAGGTGCCTGTTTGAGTCCATATAAGCTTTTCTTAAGCTTACACACCAGGTTTTTTTTTCCCTTGACTTTGAAACCTTCTGTTTGCTCCATGTAAATTTCTTCTTCTAAGTCACCATGAAGAAATATGGTTTTCACATTAAGTTGCTCAACTTCTAAATTTATGTGGGCAGCCAAACAAAGAACAACTCAGATAGAGGACATTTTTACCACAAGAGAAAATATTTCTTCAAAGTCAATACCTTTCTTCTGACTAAATCCTTTCACAACTAGTCGTGTCTTGTATCTTTATTGTGAGCTATTATTTTCGGTCTTCAATTTGTAAACCCATTCATTCTCGAGAGCTTTATTCTTTTTAGGTAACTTTACCAAGTCATAGGAGTGGTTTTCAAGTAAGGATCTTATCTCTTCTTACATGGCTTTAACCCACTCATTCTTATACTCATGTAGAATAGCTTCTTAGTAAGTTTTTGGCTCTCCCCCATCAGTAAGCATAACATACTCATATGGAGGATATCTGGTAGATGGTTGTCGCTCTCTAGTGGATCTTCTCAATGGAATCTCAACTGGTGGTGGAGGTCCTTATTCAGTTGGTTCAACATCATCAGTTGTAGGAGTCTCATCACTGACATTCTCACCATAATCTTCTTGTTCATTTCCCCCATGATCATCATGAACTATAGGTGAAGGAACTAGACCCAAACTCCAAGGAATATAAACAAAGGTTTTTGGCTTATCAACATTATCATCATCATTAAACAATTGGTCTTCAAGAAACATAACATCTCTGCTTCTAATAATCTTCTTATTCACTGGATCTCATAATTTGTATCCAAACTCTTCATGACCATATCCCAAGAAGATATATGCTTTTGCCTTATCATCAAGCTTGGACCTCTCATCTTTGAGAACATGAACAAATGCTTTACACCCAAAGACTCTCAAGTGATTATAAGATATATCTTTTCCTTTCTATACTCTCTGAAACATCACCTTTCAGAGGAACTGATGGAGAAAGATTTATCAGGCAACTATAGTTCTCATAGCCTCCTCCCAAAATGACTTAGGTAACTTGGCATGGGAAAGCATACACCTAATCCTTTCTTCAATAGTTTTATTCATCCTTTTTGCCACACTGTTCTACTGAGGAGTTTTAGGAATTGTTTTCTCAACCCTGATACCATGAAACCTACAATAATTCTTAAAAGGGCCCTTGTACTCGCCACCATTATCTACTTCAACACACTTTAGCTTTTTGCTAGTTTCTCTTTCTACACTGACATGAAACTCTTTGAAAACATCGAGTAC